AGTCTCGGTTAAAGGAAATGTGCTCCAGATAAGCAGCCTTGGAGCCCCAGAGACAGATAAATTGACAGAGACTGAAGTTGACATTGAAGCCAGCTTGGTTCATGTTGCCTTTCCAACATCTGCTTCATGCAACAAATCTGTATATCTTTTATATGCCAAACATTATAGTGGGGATACAGTGGTGGGAGGGACAAGGCAGACAAGTGTTTTTGGAGCACTTATTCTACTGGGGAAGTTATAGGAAAAAATCTGAATATGGAGTGTGGTGAGAAGAGTGACATATGTCGAATAAAATGATAGGGTGATGGTGGTGAGGGGAATGGGGTCAGGAAGGGGCTTTTTGAGGAGGTGCCCTTTCTACTAAGACCTGAAGAGTAAGGGTGAGCCAGACAAGACCAAAGCTATAGGGATTAGAGGGATGGGGAATCTTGTTGCTATAGTAAATGAGAGGCCCTGGGTTGGGAAAGAGCCTGATGTGTTTGAGGCACAAAAAGGAGTTTGGATGGCTGTCTTATAAGAAACTGGGGCACTTAGTCTGAGATGGTATAAGGATACAGGATTAGAATCAAAGCATTTGAGGAGTTTGCACTTTAAAATTGGTGAAAAGCCATTGAAAGAGTTCAACAGAGAAATGCTATGGTTTGATTTTCAAGATGTCTTTTATGAGTGATGACTGTATTTCCTGCCCTTGGACTCTGTTAGATATCCTTGTATTATTATGATTAAATTCTCCTTTAAAAAAACCACACACACAAAAAAACTTAAGCTATTTTGAGTAGATCTTGGTTACAGTTACTGCACCCAAAAGTCTAGGTTAAGATAGCATTCTTGTGGCTATTTGTGTCTACGGCCCTGCCCCCTTTTTATTTGTATTTGTATTTGCATTTATTTTATTTTTTTGAGTCAGAGTCACCCAGGCTGGAGTGCAGTGGCACGCTCACAGTCACAACAGCCTTGACCTACTGGGCTCAGGCGATCTCTTCATCTCAGCCTTCCAAGTAGCTGGCGCTACAGGCATGCTCTACCGCGTCTGGCTAATTTTTTAGCTTATTGTGGAGACAAGGTCTTGCCAAGTTGCCCTGGACTCAGGCAATCCTCTTACCTCTGCTGGGATTATAAAGTGCTGGAATTGAAGGCATGAGCCACTGCACCTGGCCTCCTGCTCCTTCTTAAAGGATAAAATTCTAGTAGAATTTCAAAAGGCATGTCAAGGAATTGTAAGCTTTTGATAGCTATTTTTGATAGATGATTTATATTAGCTTTCAGAAAGGAAATTATTTATAATTCTGTTAGTGACATATGAAAGTGTTCACTTACCCTTAGGGAGGAAATGGCGGTTATTTAAAAAAGAAATCTTATTGTATGACAGGTAAAATAATCTCATATTGTTATGTCTTTGGTTATTTATGTATTTGTTAACCTTTTTTTTCTTTTTTAAAATTTCTCTTTGTGATTTTTGTTCCTCTTTCTGTCAGATTATTTGACTTTTTCTTATTGATTTATAAGGGAATCTGTTGTCAAGAGTAAACTTTAGACTGGGTGTGGTGGCCTTCACCTGTAATCCTAGCACTTTGGAAGACTGAGGTGGGAGGATTACTTGAACCCAGGAGTTTGAGACCAGCTGAGCAACATAGTGAGACCTCATCTCTACAAATAAAAAATAAAAAATTAGGTGGGTGTGGTGGCACGCACCTGTAGTCCCAGCTTCTCGGGAGACTGTGGCAGAAGGATCACCTGAACCCAGGAAGTTGAGACTGTGGTGAACTGTGATTGAATCACTGCATTCCAACCTCGGTGACAGAGTGAGACCCTGTCTCAAAAACAACAAAAAAAGTGTAAACTTTGTCTTTCATGGTTATTTCATTATTTTTCTAGTTAGATATTTGCCTTTACCTTGATTATGTCACTTTTCAACATCCAGAGTTTTGTTTGTTTGGTTTTTTTTTTTTGAGTTGGAGTTTCACTCTGTCGCCCAGGCTGGAGTGCAGTGGCACGCTCCCAGCCACCGCAGCCTCCGACTTACTGGGCTCAGGCAATCCTTCCACTTCAGCCTTCCAAGGAGTCAAAACTACAGGTGTGGGCTACTATGCCTGGCTACTTTTTTGATTTATTGTAGAGACAAGGTCTCACCATGTTCCCCAGACTGGTCTCAAATTCACGGACTCAGGCAATCCTCTCGCCTCGGCCTCCCAAAGTGCTGGAATTATAGACTTGAGGCACTGCACCTGGCCTTTTTTTATACAGCCTTAATGGGATAAAATTCACAGACCATAAAGTGCACCCTTTCAATGTGTACAAGTCAGTGATCTTTAGTATATTCATGAGGTTGTGCCTTGGTCACCTAACTCCAGACTATTTTTTTTTTTTTTTCAGTTGGAGGCTCACTCAGTCGCCCAGACTGGAGTGCAGTGGCCGCTCCCGGCCACCGCAGCCTCGACCTGCTGGGCTCCGGCGATCCTTCCGCCTCAGCCTTCCGAGTAGCCGGAATTACAGGCATGCGCTACCACGCCTGGCTGATTTTTTGATTTATTGTGCAGATGAGGTCTCGCTGCCCAGGCGGGTCTCGAACCCGCGGGCTCAGGCAATCCACTCACCTCAGCCTCCCAAAGGTTGAGCCACCGAGCCCGGCTACTCCAGACTATTTTAATTACTCCATTTTCTAGCAGTCACTCCCCATTCCCCCTCCTCCAATTCCCTGGCAACCACTGAATCTACTTTCTGTCTATGTGGTTTGCCTATTTTGGACATTACATAGAAATAGAGTCATAAATATGTGACCTTTTGTAATTGACTTCTTTCACTCAATGTAATATTTGCAAGTTTCACCATGTTGTAGTGTGTATCATTATAGTACTTTACTCCTTTTTATAGCTTAATAGTATTCCATTGTCTAGATAAGACCACATTTTATCTGTCAGTCTATCTGTTGTATCAATTGATGGACATTTGAGTTTCCACTTTTTGGCTCTTGTGAATGCCACAATGCTATGAACGTTTTTGTACATACAAAAGGTTTTGACTTGTATTTAGTCAGATTACCACTGCTGTTTTCCTTTGAAAAGATTGCTGTCTTTCTTCACATGTTAGAAGAATCTGTCAAGAGACTGTACAAGTACTCAGCTGTTTTTTAAAAGTTATTTTTATGGGGCAACCCTCTCGGGTCCCCTCCCACTGTGGGAGCTTTTCTGTTCTCTCAATAAATCCTGCTTTCAAAAAAAAAGTTATTTTTATGATTATTCCATTTCAATCTTTAATTCATATGAAAATTCATTTTGGTTTAAGATGTAGAGAAGGGATGTAATTTTTCCTAATAGAATCATTAGGTGCTCCTAGATAATTTATTAAATAAGTTATGTCCTCACTGATTTAAAACATCATGTTTATATCAAAATAGAAAATTTATAATAGAAAATGTTTCCAATTTTTGTTTTATTCCATTGATCCTTTTATATATTCCTATTGTGGTACACAATTATAATTCTGGTAGCTTTATAATACCTTTTAAGATTTTTAGAATAATATTCTCCCAGTCACCTTCATTTTTTAAAAGTCTGGATATTCAAAAAAGTTGTATTATTTTGTCAACTTTTAGAAAGAATTGCAGTGAGATTCTGAGCAAATTTGGGTTAAATTTACAGAGTTGGAAAAGAATTGTCTATTTTGAAGCTTCCTATGCTGCAATATGGCATGTCTCCTTTACTCGAGTTTTTCTTTTTCTATTGATTACATATCTTCCTTGTGAAATGTATTTCTAAGTATTTATTCTTGCTGCTATTATAATTGGTGC